GAGGTAGGGGGGTAAGAGATCAACCAAAGGACTTGTATGCATGCATATAAGCACAACCAATGGACATAAGACATTGGGGGATAAGGGAGGCTAGGGGACTGTCTAGGGTGGGGGGGGAAAAATGGACACATATGTAATACCCTTTGTAATAAAAAATTAAATTAAAAAAATAAAAATAAAATAAAAATAAAAAAATAAATAAAATTACTTCCTCTTATTTTTCTTCCAAGTACTTATTGAGGAGGTGCCTTCTCGGTCTGTTATTGACCACATCCAAATAGATTCACATTTGTTTTGTTCAAATTATGCATGGCGTATAATTTTTTAAAAATAGGTATTGATTTTTAGAGAGAGAGAAAGGGAGAGTTAGAAACACAGATAAGAGAAAAAACATCATCCTACACACCCCCTACTGGGGATGGAGCCCTCAACCTGGGCATGTGCCCTGACTGGGAATAGAGCCGTGACCTCTTGGCGCATGGGTTGATGCTCAACCACTGAACCACATCAGCTGGACATGATATATAGATTTTTTTAAAAATATATTTTATTGATTTTTACAGAGAGGAAGGGAGAGAGATAGAGAGTCAGAAACATCGATGAGAGAGAAACATCGATCAGCTGCCTCCTGCACATCTCCCACCGGGGATGTGCCCACAGCCCAGGTACATGCCCTTGACCGGAATCGAACCTGGGACCCTTCAGTCCGCAGGCCAACGCTCTATCCACTGAGCCAAACCGGTTTCGGCGATATATAGATTTTGATCATATCCCATGGCTATCATCTTTCCAAATGAGTCCATCTTGAAGATGTACTGGCTCTGAGTTCAACCTATGGAACTTCAGATAACAGATAAAAATATCTTTAAAAGTTTGATTCTTACCCTAGCTGGTTCGGTGCAGTGGACAGAGTGTTGGCCTGTGGACTGAAGGGTCCCTGGTTTGATTCCTATCAAAGGCATATGCCTGGGTTGCAGGCTTGATGCCCAGTAGGGCATGTGCAGGAGGCAGCCAATCAATGATTCTCATCATTGATGTTTCTATCTCTCTCTTCCTCTCTGAGAGCAATAAAAAAAATTTTTTTTAAAGTTTGATTCTTAATAAAATGATCACAAAATAATGATATACTTACTCTTCAATACTTTTATCATAGACAGTCTTGATTCTTAAATGTTCATCAACATCTCTCTTTACAACATGATTTGCTTTAAGATGGACCTTATTTATGATCTGAAACAAAGGAATAGGTTTAAAGTTTTTAAAAAGATGTTGTACAGATTAGTCAATTGAGGTCATAATGTAAAATTAATCGACTAAATTTCAAGTGCAATACCCAGAATAAAAATAAAGAATAAATAGACAGAGAGATATTTCATATTTATGCATAGGCTCAACTTGATGTATATATTCAGTGTAATCCTAATCAAAATCTCAGCAGGTTATATTGTGGATATAAATCAAATGATTCTAAAATTTACATATAGATAAAAGACTTAGAATAGCCAACACAGTATTAAAGAAGAACAAAGTTAGAGGACTGACACTACCTAACTTCATGACTTACTATAAAGCTACAGTAATCAAGACAGTGTAGTACTGGCAAAAGCAGAGACAGAGCAATAGAACAGAATAGAGAGACCAGAAATAGAACCACATAAATACAGTCAACTGAGCTTTGACAAAGGGGAAAAAAGGCAACACAATGGAGCAGATAATCTTTTCAACAAATGGTTTTAGAACAACTGGATATCCATATGGGGAAAAATGAATCTAGACACACACCTAACATTCTTCATAAAATTAACTCAAAATGGACTGTAGACCTAAATATAAAATGCAAAACAATAAAACCCTTGGGAGAACCGAAGATGGCGGCATAGGTTAACGCCGGAGATTGCTGCCTTAAACAACCAATTCAAATTAAGCCTGAAAAAGGGAACGGACAACATCCAGAACCACAGGAGGGCTGGCTGAGTGGAAATTCTACAACTAGGAGTAAAGAGAATATCATATCCAG